TTTAAAAGTTATTTTATGGACATACAGCTCCTCTCCTATTCAAAGTCTTATAGTCTTAGGAAGAACCCCAGTCTCAATTCCAGGGTCCTCTCCAAAAAGGCATTACAAGTATTCCTCAGTTTCTTCACTGCTGATAAAGCTCTATAATGGGTCTGGGATCCAGATTCAGAGGGCTTAATATCACATAGGTCTTTATTCTTCCTACTGCATGGACATCTCAAGAGTCCTAGCATGAGTCAAAGAACAAGAGGAGACACATGAATTTAGATGGACATTATAACCTCTGAATGTGGGCCCTGTCAGTGATCATTACTTGACTGACAGTGAACTGACATCTCTGGGTACAAATGGCACATCTCAAAAGACCACTACTTGTCAAGGCAAAGTTTTATTACATGGCTCACTAAAGAGAAAATCAGCATTACAGTCTTAATCCTGAACTTTTTAACTCCTGCAATTTTCATAAAGCATATGATTACAAGGATTGGATGTGTTCTGCCAGGGTAGATAACATACAGATACCTGCCACAGCAACCAGATGGATGCCAGCTGTCTCTGCCAGCACTGCTTTATAAAGGATAATCCCTATCCTTGAGTGGAACACATTAACATGCTTTCACTTCATCAGATCAAAAAGCTGTCTCTCAGCAGGTACTTAATGCAGAAGAGACAGTTCCATTGAGAGAATGTCCTCCAGTTTCACCTGCCAGTATCTTCCAATGATTTGAAAGTCATGTCATCTTTAGATTTGCAGTCTGGACTGTGCTGAACACTAATGCTTGGTCCAGCTAATGCATATACCCACACAGATCTAGATCATCAAACATGAGCAGTCAAGGCAACTCAATTGACTTAACTATGGTTATGTTTTTCTTGATGTACAGATTATAGAGCTCAGCAGAGAGGACTGAAACCTAAGGGAGCAGAATATTACTATCCAAGAACACATATCCACTGCATCCAGGAATCCCTTTATTTCTCCTCTTCCACTATATTACAGTGTAGGAAACAGCCAAGGAACATATTCCAGCTCTTTGACAGCCCCTGGAAGCCAATCTGTGTAAGGGTGGTAACAACACTGTTAAACAATTCATAAACACTGGAGAATGCTGAAGAGCAAAAGGTCTGAGTACAGATGATACCATCTCACCAGGATGCCATATGCGTAATACTTGCACAGAGAGTACCTGGCCTCAGCTGGTAAATTAAGTATTTCAGAAAGTATCTTTGAAATCCTGTTTTGTTTTGTTTTTATTTAGCTCAATACATGGAATAAATTAACATCAGCTCTATGAAACTCATGACTCATAGAAGCTGTCAATTTTTTGAGGAGTCCTAAATATTTGACTGAGTTCTATTAAAGCCAGTGAGCTTTTTTACCCTGAGTGTCTCTATATCAGACAGAAAATAAGTTGTGCTGTTTTGAAAGTTCATGGTAAAATGAATCCTAAAAAATGCACCAAAATTTATAGTAATTTTTTGCTGCTTGCATGTTGCAATCTTTTAAGATCGTTTTCCAAACCACATTGACTTCAGGAAGGTAAACCTCCTGAAATTACTGGCTTTTTGTTATTGTGATAATCTGTATAGTTTAGATTTGGTACAACATATCCTCCAATATTGTTTTGCAAATTAGAACCTCGTCCTATTTCCTTTGAAGCTGGCTAGCAGAAGTCTGCTGGTTTCAATTGGAGGACAATTCCCTTTTGTGAATAAGGAAAAGCAGTTATGTAAAATAACACTGTCAGAAATTAAGAATTCTCCAGTGGTGTCTATAAACTCAAAGAATTGAAATTCTTACCAAATGTTTATCTCAGAAACAACGAAACACTACATGTTTTACACAGACTTGCTAAAAATTGAAAGGAAACATCTCTATGTCAAATATATGTATACTTCTATGTTTATCATTATTTTCAATTATCATTGCTATTACACATGACACAGAAAATTTCTTTTGTCCAGTTCCAATTTACATATCTAATTAGTTCAATGCCCACTGGCTTCACATTTAAGAGCATGGAAATTTAAAAGGAAAAGTGGTATTTTTGATGTTACATAGTAGCTGTGCTTATTGCATCACAAAATCAGCAGTTTTAATTTTGGAGTTTCTCATAATTTCTATAAATCATTGCTGTATATTGGGTCGTGATTGGATATCTCTCCAGTCACAATCCAATATATAGCAATGATTTATGACATATTTCCTTGAAACTGATGACTTCCATGAAAATGATGATGTATGCTTCCAAGCAGCTAGAAGGGACCACTCCTGGGGGTATTAACAATGCTCATGAGTACAACATAATGAAACCTCTTTTCATCGTGGGCATTCATGCTTTTCTGATATTCAAGAGGTATAAAGGACCTAAATACAGGCTATATGAGTTACAGCCTGAAGGGAGCTTCCAGACTGTCTCACAATCACAGCTGGACATTTCCCGCCCTGCTGCCTCTGGGAGGCCCCAGCCAGTCCTGAGCTGCTCCTGCAGCACCCTCAGCTGGCACAGGTCAGAGCAGGACCCAGCCCGCTCCCCTCTTTGGTGGGACCAGGGCTTGCACTGGACATGCAAACACTAGGCAGTTGTCACTGTCATCCTGACAGACTGCTGCACCCCTGGCACCCAGCAAGACCGGGACTCTGATTTAATCTGCTTAAGTGAAGTTGCGCAGAGGTGAACACACGCCAGGACAATCTCTCACCTCTCCTGGCAGGCAGTCACGGGCACCCTTCATGTGCCCCCTAGGCCTCTCCTAGGCCCCTTCTGCCTCTTGCTGCTGCTGCATTCCCATCCCTGTGCCAGTCCTTACTTGCAGCAGGTCTGTCCTGCATTCCGACACATGGATGTCTCTTGAGGCATCCTCTCAAATGTGAGAAGAGCTATGTAAGTGGGTTTCAAACTGGGAGCATGGAAGTCAGCCAGGGCAGTAGCAGATGTCCCTCTGTCCCTCTCCTGCATGTTCAGGTAGCCCAGGCATTGCATATTCTGTGCCAGCTGGGGGGAATGCAACAGCACTTCAGAGCATAAAAACAACAAAAACCTTCAAGCTACAAATGTCATCTTGCTTCTTATAAAGAGAAGACCACAGAATTATTGTGCTTTCCACATTTAACATAAAGGAAGGGGTTACAGGAAGAAAACATCTGTTTTTTTTTTAAATGGTAACAGAGTGAAGCTTCCTTTACCTTTCCTACTTTAGAACAGCCACTTTTTGGTGCATTCTGTGAAAGACATGTTAGATTTCATGCTCCCAGACTTCGATCAATATTGGGCTTCCAAAGATCAAGAAGCCAGCATAGATGTTTCTTCTGAATGCTGCAGGATTCTTTCTGTCTTTTCCAACCCTTCTGGCATGGTGCTGGCTCCTGCCAGGACCAGGATAGTGCACTAGGCAGACTTGCCTTGAGCCAGCTGGACACTTTTGCTGATCCTAAAATGAAGGTGTAGTGATGTAATTAGAGAGAAACTTCTGTTTTTAAATTCAAGTCAGAGAAGATAAGGCTGCAACCTCAGGGCAGAGTGTTCACAGTCTCAGGAAGAAACCTTGCAGAAATCCAGCTTTACACACAGGCCCAGTGAGTTAGAGAAAGCAAACAAGCATCCTCACCAAAGCTGGTGCCTGGGTATCCCCCCATCACCTTGACACTCCAGAGTTAGTTGCCTTTGACAGAGCTGAGCCTTTGCAGGAGCCAGCCAGTAAAACTGTATGAGCACATGGATCAGCTTCTGTGCTAGCACTCCCCCACAGGGATGGGGCTATCGGCTCCTGAAATTCTGTGCCTTGATATTGCTGTGGCCACAGAGTGGAAGCCAAGATTTCAAAAGGTCTGTGTGTTATCTTTGCAGAGCAGACAACTGCTACTGTAATCTGCACTTTAAGAACATTCGGTGGGGAGGAGACACTGAACCAGGGCTCTCACTTGAAAGCCTTTGTGTTGTTCCAGAAAACTGGCCATAGTGGAGGATTCCAGAATTATTCCACCCCATGTAAATCTCCCATTTCTGCTACAAGTGACCATCTGCCTTCTCTGGCCATGCACCTGGGGATGGCTTCTTTTCTAAAGGGAACATATGATTCATCTTAACCTTAGTAAAATTTGTATATCTGTGTTGGTTTAAGTATTCAAGCTGTCTTTGAAAGAAATAACCCTTACTTTAAAATGAAGAAAGCATAAAACCGATGCATTCGTTGTATTTCAAAGATCCCGAAAGCAGACACGAGGTGTTCCTCAGCTCTTGGCGCAGATTTGCAAGTGAACCACAGCAGGACTGGGCCCAGGAAGGTTCCTCACCTGCAAAAACTTTGTGGAGCAGGCAAACAGTGCCTGCCCATGCCAAGGACAGGCGGCACCTGGGTGTGACTGAGTTTTTCTGCCAGCTCCACCAACATGGAAACCCGACAGGAAACCCTCGCCCGCTTCGTGAATGGGGAAAATTAGAGGTTTTCTGGAAAAACTTTCCAGACCTGTATTTGGTGTAGGTTTTCTCGAGCCCCTGCCCGTCGTCCCTGCAGGTGCACACACCAGACCCGCGGGGCCGGGGCCGGGGCCGGTGCTTCGCTTCGCCTCGCCTCAGCCCGGGGCCGCGGGGCCCAGGGGCTCGGCCCGGGGCCGCCGCGGCGCGGGGCTCGGCCCCGCTGAGGCGCCTTCCAGCGGCCCGGGAGAGCCGCGGCGGAACCTCCGTGCCCGCGGCGGAACCTGCACGTCCCCGGCGGACAAAGCAGTACCCCTAGCAGCAATCCCCACCGCTGCCACCCCCGCCCCATCCGCGGCTCTCGGGGCGGGGCGGGGCGGAGCGGGGCGGGGGGGGCGCAGGAGCCGCCCCACGCCGGTGCCGCCGCCGGGGCGGGCGGCGGGGAAGGGGCGGAGAGCGGGGGCGCCGCCACCGCCCCCTGGCCCGCCCCGCCCGCCGCGCCCCGTGGTGCCGGCGCGGGCGCGGGGCCGAGGCAGAGGCGGTGAGGCCGGCGGGGCTTTCGTACCGCGCCCGCTGCCGCCGGGCATGGAGGGCGCCGAGGCGGCCGCCCGCGCCAGCAGCAGTTCCAGCTCCAGCCCCGCGCCGCCCCGCTGCTCCTCCTGCGGCCCCGGCCCGCCCGGCGGCGAGGCGGCGGCGGCCATGGAGGAGCCGGTCCGGGCGGCTCCGTCCCCGGAGGTAACGGCGGCGAGGAAGCAGCAGGGGGTGAAACGGCATCACCACAAGCACAACCTGAAGCATCGCTACGAGCTGCAGGAGACCTTGGGCAAAGGCACCTATGGCAAAGTCAAGCGGGCCATCGAGAGGTTCTCTGGCAGAGTGGTAAGGCAACAGAGCGGCTTCTCTCTGCCTCTTCCTCTTATATGTACTCTTATGTATACAGGTATATATATAAGATCATATTCCAGCGCCTATTTCGGAACAGAGCTGGCCGGGTGCATCCGTCCTGTGTACAGGGCCGGCGGGTGGTGCCAAGGCGGGGACCCGCTCAGCATCGCACCCGTGCCTGCGGTCCGCGGCTTTGTTCAACCCTGCAGAGAGACTTTCATCTGAGAGGAGTGGTAGAGGCATTGTAGTAGCGCATTGCTACATTTTGGAGAGATGCGTTATTATTGGAAAATTAGGGTGACTTACTTTTTTTTCTGATTTTTTTTTTTTTTTTTAACACGCGTGTCCACTCTGAATAATTTTTTGCCCAGTGGAAATTCACGTTTTTGAGAAACCTGTCACATCCCCTGGCTAACCAGCGCTGCTCACAAAGTACTGTCAGAAGGGAAAACGTTTGCTTCTCTGGTTAAAAATGCTGTGATTCGCTCATACTTCTGTGAGCTGAACTTTGCTGACACCTAAAAAAATTGCAGGGACTGCAGCCCACCCCATTGGTTTTTATGATCCATTTCACTGCTCTGGTGCTGGCTGGCTTGAGACTTCAAGCAGCCTGGGGATTGTCCATCAATAACTCAGCTTCAGCATTTCCTCACTGGTGCAGCGCTCCAGCCGGGTGCAGAAATGCAATTGAAGCAACGTACGCGTTAGTCAGAATTATTGTCATTTTTCCTTCCCAGAAATACATAACTATCCACAGAGGGCAGGGGAATGAGAGGTAGGCATTTTTGTGTTAAAGAGATAGGAGTTTTTTTACAGAGGTCTTTGTCCTGAAGTGCACTATATGAGTTTTCACTGGACTTCATCTAAAAGCGAGGCATTTCCCTGGTGATGTCATTTACCTTTCCCTTTCAGTTGCTGGGGAGCTCAGCACGCACCCAGAAGCAGAAGGGCCTGTAAAAGAAAATGAAATTTCAGATGCTATGACTTTAATAAGGAACACTTTGCAACTGAATATCTTTGTGTTGACAGTGAAAATGAGAGTTCCGGCCAAGTTCTAGTCATATCATATATGCTTTCAGTTTATTAGCTCATTTGGAGGCTGGCTGAAGAGAAACCAGAGATGGACATCTCTGCACATGCTCACTCTAAGTCCATGATTTTTAAAGTTTGCTGTCTTGGCTGTTTTATGACTTCAGGCTAACAAAAGCTTCAGGGCTATATTATATGCTAACTACTATTTTTTAAGTAGATTAGTTTTGAGTTGCATTGTAAAATGTAGTAAACGAGCAAATAAGTTGAAAACATCTCTGTTCAAGGAGTTGAGAAATAAACAAAAAAAGGGTGGCAGTAATGTACCATGAGATTTGGGTTTGGAAAGAGCTCTCACAGAGGAAGATGGGCCGATGTAGAGTAGGTAGATGTGTGTCTCATCTAACTTAACAACACGCTAGGTCTTTCCATATTTTGCTAACTGTCAAGCTCTTCAGCCGCACAGTTAGAGTATACTTTGATGTTATCGTCAACTGAATTTGTATGGCTAATGCCATCTTGAAATGGAGAGAGTGTAAATCAGAATACCTATGCAATCTTAAATGCAATAAAAATATATCATTTGCTGTATCAGCTGATATGTAGAAGCTGAACAAGTCCTTACCAGGGTGTGAGTTTTTTACTGGAGTAATGCAAGCCTTGGCGTGTGGCACTCTGTAATTATTAACTAGTCTGCAGGCGAGCTCTGGCGTAACGTGTCTATTTGAACTGTAACATCTGTGAGTGTATGTAAAATATCCAGAGTTTGTCTGCTTGCAGAATAAAAGCTAGTTGTCAGGAATCAAGCCAGATCTCGGTGAATGGAAAACGCTTCTTGTTTTCTGACAGTTCCCTTGTCTGGCTGTTACTGATCACTGTGAACACTGATTCCTTTCCATGGGTGAGATAAGAGAACTGACTGCAGATGACTGATCAGAGAGCAGCAGTTTTTCTTTGCTTTTTCCACCCCTCTTTCTCTTCCCTTTCCTCTTCTCAGTTCTTTTTAGGGGCAGTGTTTGTGTTATCCATGAGCACGTTGGACCAGATGCTGCCGTGTCCAGCAGGGAATGCGATGTGGCTGGCGCTGTCTGTTGCACCATGTCCAATGCCAATCCTATTGCAACCAGCCGCAAGAGTCCTAAGGGTGCTCTTGTGCAGGCTGTTTGCTTCCTACTCTGTTACTGGTTTAGCTGATCATCACTTTCTTTACTCAGTGGTAAGCAGGTATTTGAAGCTGAATGGTAACAGATTGCAAAGCTGGACCTTGTGTTCCCATTCATCAGTCTTGTTCAAGCAATTCTCCTGTTTAGCCTTTCCACTTCTCTTGTCTGTCAAGAATTTCTTTAGCTGTATGGAATTTAATAAAGAGGTTTACGTGATTAGCCAGGCTTTTAATATGAAGCACAAACTTTGAATTTGTTGTCATCTATATAAACAGAGCTCAGAAATGAAATAAACTGTTAGGTTTTGGTAAATAAAGTAAAACCAAGGTGAGAAGGCAGTTCAGTGCAAAGTACAGATGTGCTTTAATGCTATGCCATTGGAAATCAGTAGCAGGATTTCTGTTGACTTAAATGAAATTAGTATTTGGCATGTGTTAGCAGGTTACAGGTTTATTCAAATTGTTATTCCTCTTAACTTTAACTTTGTTGTCTTTCCTTGTAATGCAGTGAGACGTGATCATAAAGTTTCCTGCCATAAAGCTCCAGGGTAGATTGTATGATACATTTGGTTTGTTACTGGAAACAACTTAGGTGAATTTGTGCATTAGTTACCACAGCAGCTACAGACAGTATTGCATGCTGCATGGAGCAGTTAAAATATTGCCCAGTATATGATGTATGAGGTGCCTAATCTTGCCAGCAAGGTTTCTTTATTTGTGCTGTCTCAGTATACACAGTTGTAACTTTCGACATTTTAAATTAAGGCACCTGTTAGCAACACTCACGTTTCTGTGGGTGTTTTTTCCACTTGTCATCTTGCACATGTTAAACCAAAGAACAGAACTTTTGTTAGTGTTATGTATTCAATGTTTGTTAGCCAAGAAATCCACAGTTACGCTTATTTCAGCCTTATTTAAGGTGTGTATTGACCACCTCTGGCTGATTCTATGCATGGTGCATGAAGATGGTAAATGCTGCTGGATTCTTCTTTGAGTAAACGATTCCACTGGAGTAAATAGTCAATAGAATGCAGATTTCGATTACAGATAGGTGTTTTCTGTTTGCCGTTTGCAAAAGCCGGGAAGTTTGTCTCCCTTTCTCTCCCTAGCCTGCGCTTGGGAGGTGATGGGGAGTAGCTGCAGGAGCCTGCCTCCCCTCCTCCTTCATCTTCCTCTTTCTGCCCAAGTCACGACATCTTTTCTTCCTCCTCACCAGCAGGTGGAGGAAGCACTATTCTCCTCCAGCCGTTCCTCCGGAAAGTTAATTCTTTTGGGAATTGATGACAAGCAGCAGCCCAGCATGGAGAGCAGGCACATGGTGCATATTTGGACAGCCATGTTATGTGTGGTGGCTGCCGTGTGTTATTTATCTCTTTTGCATAATAAGTGCGGGTAGAAGGATGTTGCCAAATGAAATTGGTTTCTGGATCAAAATCTTGTAAAAATCCCTCAAACTTTAGAGCAACCAAATATTTTATTTACAACTGCAGTGCAAGTCTTCACTTTGACACAGGTCTGGTTCTTGATGAGTTTGAAGGGTCGCACAGGGTCTTTGAAACCTGGAACAGCAACAGATTAGTGAAAGGAGGACTTTCGCTTTGCTGATTGTATTTCTCCATATCATGACAAAACCAAAATTTGAATATCCACAATTATGGCTCTGTCATGTCAGTAATTAAGGCCTTGTTGGGCACACAACCATTTCTTTGGAGTGTGGTTTTTATAAGTTCCTTGTAACAGGATAAAAGTGTGTTGATGGGTCACTGAGGGCAGTGAAAGCCAGGTGAAACATTTGTTCTCTCACCTGTGCTGCCAATATCACAGAAAATGTGAGTATCCCTCTGATGCATGTGATTCTTTTATCTTTAATAGTATATTTCCATTTTTTCCCCTGAGAATTTCTCCAGTTAGCACTTGGGTCACTGCTTCATATTGATTTTTATCTCAGTTGCTTGGTTTGCATCTTCTGCGGGATAATGTCCAAATCTGACACAGAATCTGTTTATTTCTTTTGAGGTTCTTGTTGCTCTGACTAAGACATCTTCCTTTGTGGCAGACACAGGAATAAGTATCTACACAATGCTGATGTGATGTGAAGTGTCTGTACAGTACTTTCTTAGCAGGTTCCTGATTCATGAATGTGGCTTCCACAGCTCTAATAATACACTTCAATTACAGTATTAATAGCTTGCATTACTACCCCATTTTATGCATGAGAAATGAAAAACTTGCCAATTAAAGCCAAAATCAGCAGAAGTTTCAGCTAGTTTTGAGTGCACAACCAAGTACCTGATTTGTCCAGACACGTAGTCTATGTGACATCAAGGTCCTGTGGATGACACCCTCCTCTTGCAGCACTCAGCCTGTCCTGCCTCCTGGCCTCTCTCTTTACCCAGGGCTTTTGTCCCTGTGTGACATCCAGCTTTGGTCTCCATTGCTGGCCCTTTTGTGCTGCGCTGCCTCCCGCTTTGTTGTGCGTGCCAGCGCGATGACCCGCGCAGGGTGTGCGGCTCTGCTCCCTGCTCTGGCAGCTGCCAGCAGGGCCTGTGCAGCCTGTGCTGCCTGCTGCGGGCACCTCTTCTGCCACGTCACATGGGGGCCAGAGGTTCTTCAGGGCAAAAGGGATTCTTGCAAAATATGTAGCCTAAATCTTATGCATGTGCATATGTATTTATTTATTTATTTATTTAAGATGTTCAGACTGAGTTCCTTTAGGGACTTGTAATGTGACTAAATCTGGACAGTGTTTTCATGGTGCTGAAGGCATGTTAGTGAAACTCGGGTCATCCTCTGCATGCATGGA